AATGTATTAAATAAAGCTGCACATACGGCTTGCAGGTAAGTTCAATGTTCCTTGGCTAGGGATCTCTCTAGTATTTCTAAAAATCAATAACCACTTTTCTACCAAATGACTAAGCTACTTAGATAATGATAATAAAGAAATATTGAGAGCTACCTTTTTAAGAGCTGTTCTTAAGCTAGTGAGCTGGGGAGACAAATCTGACTTAACAGATGATTTATAATAATTTTCAGATCATAAAATTTGATTTCAATTATTTTTAAGAGCCCAGCTATGCTTTTAGTCTTCAAGGATGTTCTGATCCATTATAAGTGTTCATGACCTAATCGACATCTTTCAGAAACCCCTTCCCAATTTTTGAGCCCATATGTTAACTCTTTGGCTATTATCCGGGCTTTACTTCTTTTTAGTATGCCCCTCCATGGACCCCATGTCCAGTCCTTTTCCAATCTACCCATCACATTAATCAATGCTCTTTCAGTTACATATTTAGATTACAAAGTAAGTGCTATAAACTATAAATTTGATTTTCTTTCCTTTAAAGAAAAATTAGCTACTTCAACTGTTTGCATTTTGCATTGAGGTAATTAAATGAACTGATAGTGTTCAGGTCATAAAATCAAAGTATTTAGCACTGAATTTCCAAGCCTGTCCTGTTTGACTTATTGGAACATCAGTGCCAGTCTGTGTCTTCTCTCAGTATTACTTTAGGTGGAATCACTAAGTGACCATTCATAACGGTATAAGTGAAAGAAAGATACAGAAACCAATAAAACGTAATGCCAATTAATTATAGTGTGATTTAGATCTGTGGTCCACATTTTGGGATTTAAAAAAAGTGACTTTGTTAATATCTGATTATTGTGATTAGATGTTATTCTGATTAGATTCTCAATAATATCAGTACAGATAAAAATATTTCATTAATCAACAACAGAAAATAATAGTAAGAATCTCTTACAAGCAATGCAAACTATGCAACTTCTCAAAATCACATTATGTGTTCTTTGTATGTGAATACATGTTTTGTACATAATGATCAATTTAACAGCCCTAACATTTCAGAGTGAACCATATCCTAACCAATCTGCCAAATGGAATAAGATAGTTACCTCTGTCTGTATCAAAAAATATTTAACCTACAAAAATAATTTTATCTCCTACCATTGGTATGATTTTCTACTTTTTAGAAATGTAAGCTATTGTCATTATTACAGATTTCAGAGAAAAAAACCTCATTGTCAGTATAATAAAGTACAATTATGTACATTAAGAGGAGAAAACGGGGAGACATACCTATTATTTAGATTATTGTAATATATTGGATAGTTTTCTTCTCTATGCATTCTAAGCAGTTGAGACTAAGGAGTAAAATATTAATAATAACGAAATTCCAAAAATAAATGAAACAGACTTTCAAGGCATAAAAATAATTAACCTTAAGAAAAATGTACAGGAAATGACTGATAATATGTGTCTGAATTCTTGCTAATTCCAGCTTTTTTAAGACTGTGAAGTATACATATTTGTGATAAAAATTCTATGTGGCACATAGGAACATTGGCAAAAACAAACCCTGAGTCCTCGAGAGAGCAGAGTTACATAAAAAACAAAATCATGTGAAGATGAATAAGCAGGGCGTGAAAAATGCCAGTTGAAATGAATAGAAGCTGGAACAACAAGACATATTTAATAATAAAGAACAAGATGTATATGCAGACGGCCTTCAAGTTGTGTAAAAACTCCTTGCTTACATTTTTCTTTGGGAAGATTCTTCATTAAACTCTTGATGGAACATGATCCATTCATTTCTGTTACTCATGTAAATGAAAATGACTGAGTGATGTTTCTGTTTGCAATACCTGCTTCCTCAACGGGCAAAGCAGCAATGCCCAGACACTGGACTGCGTGAATTCCCACAGGGTAGAAGTTAAGCAGCTTCTTCCACGGATTCTAAAGGTGCTTCTGTGGACAGTTTATTTAAAAGGTGCAATGGAGACATTAAGTGTTCTGTAGCTGTGTATGATAGAATATGAATGCGATTTTCCCTACCCTTTTCTTTCCTCTACCCTCCTTTTTATCTTTATCTGTTTTGCTTTTCTTTGGGTTGGGAAAAAAATCATAATTACGAACCTGAACTATTAATGAAGCTTGTTTTAAATCAGTGCCTGGGAAATAAATTAGCCTCTATTCCCACACAGTCATAATGTCAGTAAATGAAGGCTTCCAGTTATGGTGCAGGAAATTAAAGCAATGATGGCCAAAGTTTTAACAAAGTCACAAGGGACCACACATTATTGATTCTAAGAAAAGGCAGATTCCTACTACCCAGAAAATGACATCTATCTTAAAATAAATGACTAAAACACAAAGTAAACAAGTTGAGTCAGTTCCCTAACAGGAAAATTTGAAAATATCCAAAGAGGAAAAAAAAAATCAACATAAAATATAAATAGGAGCAAATCAGTAACTACAAAAGAATGGCTTAAACACAATTTTGGAAGTAGTATAAGGTGACAAATAAGTATATCATTCAATTTAATACCTTAGAGAGGAAATTTGTTCATTAAAATGTAAAATTCTATGACCTAAAGGGATCTACTGCTAATGGGTTTCTTTTGGGAGTGATGGAAATATTCTAAAATTAGGTAGCAATGTTGAATGTACTAAATACAGTTGAATGTACTAAAAACAATTAAAGATTGAATTTTATAGTATGTAAATTATATCAACAAAGGTGATTTAAAAAAAAACACAACATTCTGTGATCTAAAGTTAGATTAAAAAAGAATTGCTGCCCTAGCAGGTTTGGCTCAGTGGATAGAGCCTGGGTCTGCAGACTGAAGCATTCGGGGTTTGATTCTGGTCAAGGGCATATGCCCAGGTTGCGGGCTCCATCCCAGTAGGAGGTGTGCAGGAGGCAGATGATTGATGATTCTCTCTCATCACCGATGTTTCTTTCTCTCTCTCCCTCTCCCTTCCTCTCTAAAATCAATAAAACTATGTATTAAAAGAATTGCTATTAGTTACATGTAGACAAATAGCTTTCTATAGGCTGTCAATGTACCCAAGAAGAAAATCCAACAGAAGTGAAATGGTCTTCTTTTAATGGTATTGTTGATATCTCTGCATCAACATATAGTCCATATGAACTACACTCCCAATAAGTCTGAAGTCCTCTTTTCATTGTTCCCGCCTTAAGAATCCTTTCTTCTGAGAAGCAACCTGCTTTATCACCAGCATATTCAGGCTGCTGATTGATGGTGAAAAGGCATGAAATTTAGCTTATTAACTTCTAGAAAAATTGATGTCATCTAACTTCACCCAGTCCTCCACTACTGCTTAAAAATCATTTCCCTAATGTCTAACTGGCTCCTTAACACATTTCTTATAGTGTTGATTTCAAAGCTTTCAAATCATCTTCCTGTCAACATGACCTCATCTGATCACTCATCAAAAATCAGCATTGATAAAAAGAAAAGTTCTTCCATTTCAAAACTGACCTTATAGGGTGGGGCAAACATAGGTTTACAATTGTTCACATGAAAAATAATACAATAATGAATAAATAATAATACAAGAATAAACTGTTTCACTGAATCACAACTGTAAACCTTCATTTGCCCCACCCCATGTGTGCCCTTTACTTCACATTCATCTCAAAAATAGTTCATTTTATCATTTCAAAACATCCTTGTTTAGTCGAGATAAACTTGACTTGTTTTGTCATACATTTGCTACTATCAAGCTCTATAATTATGGGCAAGGCAATTAACTTATCTGGTCCTTAGTTGTTTTCATCTGTAAAATTATTATCTTGGACTTGGAGAATAGAAAAGACACTTTCAGTAATAAATCAAGCTTTTCTTCATCTTATATCCAATCTGAGACCTTTCTACCACTCTAGAACCTTCCCTTTCACTCAGCCTGTGTGTGTGTGTGTGTGTGTGTGTGTGTTTGTGTGAGTGTGTGTGTATATATATATATATATATATATACACACACACAAATGAGACAGATGATATTTTGTCTAGGAATCTCCTCTTATAAGCATGATGCTGCTATTTCTTAATCAAACTTCTTCAGGGTACAGATAATACTATGAAGACTACTCTTTATTAGCTTATCTCTTTTCACACCTTCCAATTTGTTTTCTGCTTCTTGCATTTTATCAAAATAGTTGCTGCAAAGGTCAAGTGATTTTTCCTCACTGCTTATTCTATGTGAGCTATCTTTGACATAAAACACTATGGTTTTGAAACACCATCTTGAAACTTCTCATTTTCCCTGACCCCGATCTTGTACTTTTCTTTCTAAGGTTCTGGTCATCTGTTGTCTTTTCTTTTTTTTATGTTCAATTCTCAATCCTCAACACAGGACCTGAATGTGAGTATTCATCAGAGATCTATCTTGGTCACACTTCTAATTTTTTCCTGTTGAAACTTTCATTCATTCTGAGGATGCCAACTGTTGTATTGGTGTGGATTACAAAACTAGTTTTCACTGAGCACTGCATGTATCTCTCACCAATTTGAAGTTATACTGAATATGTAGACTCCCTATGCTCCCATAGTCTTTCTTTCTGTTAATGACATAATTGTCTCTCCCGTGACTAGAAATGATATGCCTGGAAGAAGAGAAGCATCAATATCAGGGCCGGCACTGCCCTTTGAAAAACACAGGTCATCAGAGCTAGTTCTTCATTTGACAAATGTCTCAATGCTCTAAAAAATATTAAAGCAATGCTCTTCTTATAATGACTCAAGGTTATGACTTACATTTGAAAAAGTTCTGCTGTTTGAAAACCACATCATACTGATCCTCAGGGCTATATTTTTCTTTTTTTACAAAAATTCAAACCATGAATTGAATGATCCCCATGTGCTTCTCCAGTTCCTTCATGTATTGTTGTGAGCTGATAAAAAGGCCTTAGCTTCCAAGAAAATTCTGTTACAGCAAATAGATTCACAAGGAAAGAAAAAGGAAAGAAAACAGCAACTCACACTTTGTCTGTGCCATAACTCCTGTAGTCCACGGCCGCGGACACGGCCACAATGAGCGCGGGCATGCCGTAGCCCACCAGGTAGAAGTACTTCCTGCGGGAGTGCTCGCTCTCGAACACCTCCACCAGCATGATGTAGAGCTGCACGCCCTCCAGGAACATCCAGGTGAAGGCGGCCAAGAAGAAGAAGTGTAAGAGGGCCGCAAACACTGCACAGGCAATCTAGGCAGAGGAACAGAATGAGTCAACTTACTGCTCAATGAAGTGCCAGCAACTGCCATAAAATTAAAATAAATATTTATCCATACTGCGGTGAAAAGAAAGGTCTGCAGAAGGATAAGCTGGGTGAGATTCTTAAAATTCCGATATTAAAACCTAATTAGATAGAACCTACCTTTAGCATTTTACTAATGGCTGGTGGATGACAGCTTAGCATTATAGTAAAGAAAGATTATAATATTTAGGGGAATGTTCTAAAGAGCCTACCGATAATTATTGCTGAGATTAGTCTAACGATTCAAAAATAAACCTCAGGTGTTTCTTCTCTTGGCCATAATTGTGTATGCACTAATGTATTAATTGTTAGAAAAATACTAAAAACAAGGATAATAAAGGTTCTTAACATTAAATAATAAAATTAATTGCAGCATTTTGTAATTGATTATTAATTCATTACTATTACTTCTAATTTATTTCTTCCCTGTCTTGTTTCAGAAAGAATCTATAGCAGCATTGGGAAATTCATGCTACACATGTATAAAATTAGATCAGGTTAAAATTTTCCACAAGTGCTTTTTCTCCCAGTTTTTTGTTATTGGTCAAAAAAGGCAGCCAATAGTTCAAAACTGTTTTCTTGGCATATTTTATTTTTATTTATTTTTAAAAATACATATTTACTTTAGCTGTTTTTAATCCTCATCCAAGGAAATGTTTACTGATTTTTTGAGAGAGGGAGAAACATTGATCTGTTGCCTCACATATGTGCTGTGACCAGGGATCGAACTGGCAACCTTGGTATGTGCCCCAATGGGAAATCAAGCTGCCACCTTTTAGTGTATGGGAGGAGGCTCTAAACAACTCTGCCACCCAACCAGGGCTCTTTGGCATATTATGTAAGGTACTACAAGTTTCAGCTGGCCATCTATTAATTTTCTTATGTGAGTTCTGAAAGTTTTAACTTGGAGGGTGTGTGTCTCCATTTCTTATAAAAGTCCTACTAGAAAGAGGCAACACATTTATAGAAATTATCAAAGTAGTATGGATTTAATGATGAGTACGGTCCTTGAGAATGAGACAAAGTGAGTCAATTTCTTTGCATTAGAGAGGTGACAGGGAGAGGGAGATGAGACAGTCAGATGTCAGAGGGCTACAGAGAAAGCAGAGCCTACCCACTGTGGGGGATGTAGAAGAGGGCAGCTGTCCGGCAATAAGCATACGGACAAGTGGAGCTGAGCTGGACCCTACTCAAGGTTTCATTTTAATCATTGTTATGTATCCTCTTTGTCAGAAATTAGTTTTGTTCAGTATGCAACATTGGGTGAAGTTTACCATATTTTATGTAACATCAGGAAACAAAAACAAGAATAAGGTTTCTAAATGAAAAGAAATAATGGTGTTTGAAGTGCATATTAAGAAGAAGTAAAATGATTTCTTTATGGAAAATAAAAGAGTTTTCCATTTCTTGCTTTTTAGAGTTAGAACTTCAACTATTAGTTTTTGTTAACAGGCTGCTTTACTTTTGGGGCGAAAGCAATGTGTAGTTTGATTGCTTATTCACATGTATGTGTTTATGGGAAAAGCTGTCACATTTGTATATGATAACCGATAAAAAGTATAATCAGCATAATTGTCCCCTTTACAGCCATTAATCATGAATGTGTAATCACAAATACAAGTCCAACTGCATTTTTATTGTAAAGTACTCCATACATTAAGTGAATGAATTATTGATTATGCTTATTCTGAGTTTTCTAAAAAATAGTTTTCTTTTCATTTGCAGTTTTAGTCATGAAAACAAACTTTTCTTATGTGCAAGGACCTCACAAAAAATTATAACTGGGCATGAAGTCCATTTCATATATTAGCTATTATCTGTTGTTCATATTTTCTTTTTGGTTTTACCAAGAACAATTGGCTAGTACAATTCCTTTTTCCCATCCTCCCTCCCTTCCTCACTAATTTTATGTCTTAATATCGTTAAATGTAGGTAGTAGTAAAGTAGGAAGTTGGCACTTAACGATGTGAACAGAACTTGAGCAAATAAAACTTGGAAAGAGTTAAATATTATAAAAATTACCTACAGTGTGAACTATTTTTCAAAACATGTCAATTAGAAAAACTCATTGAGGCACGTCATTTTTAATACAATGTCCATCGTTTTTAAATAAACTTCAAAAAATAATAATTTTTGTTAAAAATGATACCCCTCCATTGCCCAAAACATTTTATTTAACTTTCTTATTATTCAGCTTTGTAGTTTTTTTTTTAAAAAAAAGGGGGGGCAGAGCTATTAAAGATTCTTGAGAAAGGTAAGTTTATAAACAGAATTTCTGAAGAAATGTACTCTCATACATGCATAACATTCGCTGCTTCTTTATGACAACGGGGTATGAAAAGGGGAACACTGAATAAGATCTGACAGTATCAATCTGAGATAACTGGAAGGGGAGACATCCTTTACTCATGTCAATGGAAGCTGCTTACTGGTTGGTCAGTTCGGTTGATCCCAATCAGGAAGAGCAGCTCTGCTACAAAGAGGCTGATGCAGAGGTTCTTGTGGATGGTGTTACGGTCACTCTGGAGCCCGCGGAAAAAGCAAAATGTGAAGATGCAAATCAGGAGACAAACAAGGGACAGCAAAATTCCGACCCACGTGATCACATCCAGAAGGAGGTCATGGACTGCGTCACTGTGCTGGAAACACAACAGAAAAGCCGTTAAGTTGCATTTATGCATAACTGATTGTAAAGAGTTATAAGGGCCTGAGGTATAATTTTAATAATTCACTAAATATTCTCCACTTAGACAATGAATAAGACAATTGTTTGGGTTTTCTCATCCATAGGTAAAATATTTTATATTTTCTCTGAGGTCTACATCAGTTTGGTAGTCAAGGATGTCAATAATGTTTACCAAATACATTTTCAGAATATAAATACTAATTGAAACAAATAAACTTAAAGCTGGCCAAGGATTTTTTAAAAAAAGCTTTTTGTTTTTAACCCATATCACTTTTTGGGCTTATTTTTTGACAACTCCTACTATGGAAATATTTTACTTCAAATTAAGCTATACACTTAACACTGTGGTATCTCAACTGAAATGCTTTTTTAATCATTGGGGGATTTTTACTAAAAAAAAAAAAATATAGTTCCTCTGTCCTACCTTTGTCCTATAAATACTTGATCAGAGTTCCCAATGTTGAGTTTAAAAAAGTATGCCTTTTTATAATGATCCCCAGTTAATTCTGGTGAATGACCAACATATGTGTACCATTTATTTAGTGGAAGACCTAAAAGAATGAGGATATTCTGGGATTTAAATTCATATTGAATGGCTTAAGGAGAAAAGGAAGTTTGATCCTTGAAGGGTTTTGCATGAATAAAGACCGTTATACACAGATGGAATATAAGCATTCAGAATGACTATACCCGATAACAGCATAAGATAGATAGCAGTGCTAAGAAAAAAGTAAAGGCTCATGAAAACTTCTGTATGAAACTTCATTTTCTTTCTCTATTGAAATAGTCTATAAATTCCATACCTGTCATGTTCCTTGGTCTATCAACTACCTCATTTCTGTACTTGTTCTAAGGTTCAAACTCTATTTGTACTCTGTGGTAAGATTTCTACCCTATGGTAATTGGCCTCCACTAGAAACCACTTCTGTGAAGCTTTAGGATTTTAGTGGACCAACACCTCAGTGCGCCGAGATATTGGAGCATAGGTGAGACATGATCTATGATGGTCAATTCCTCTTTTCTTTTTAGGTTTCTTGAAAAGTCTTAAAAGACTTAACTTTCATCAGCAGGACAATGAATAAACAAATAATAGTTTATAGAATGATAGTCTAAAGAGTAGTAGGAAATCAATGTTCTGTATATATATATGGTCACACACATGTATACTGCTAAAAAATCTAATAATACATATTTTTAAATAAAAAATCATCTGTGCAGCATGATACTATATCTATGTAAACTATCAAAATTCATAATTGACATTCATTTTTATGGATATATGCCTCAATACTAAAAGAATAACATATGCATGGGGGATATTTTAGTAGAAAGCAAAAAAGACGTGTTTTTAATTGACACCTTTTTCAACTGTGTAATCATAAAAAGTAGATTTTTTAATTAGAATTGAAAATACTTCATTTTGTTGTCTTCCACAATGTCACTTTCCCCCCTAAATAAATATCCAGGTTTTTCATTTTTACTTGTTTTTATTCAAACTTCACACTTTTATGTTTTATACAAACTTCAAATAAGGTTATTCTGAATGTGAAAATTCTTTTTACAACCTAGGTACTATGCTGTAACCTGAATCATAGCACTTCTCATATTGCCAGATATGACTTCACAGTTGTTATTTGATAAAAAAAAAAAAAAAAAAAAAAAAAAAAAAAGAGAGAGAGAGAGAGAAAACTCTGCTAGAACACTGTCAATGAAACAGTTTTGAAATATTCCTGCATAACTCTAGATACATTTCTCAGAAGGAGCTCAAATCATGAAAGAAAACCACATGAAATTTTGCTTTAATGGCATTGTTCTCCAGGGGATGCCACTAAAGTAGTGTTGGGTCTCTGATAGCTTAAATTACTTTTACTGTTTGAGAGTGGAGCGTGGTCCATGCTACCTAGCTCCCTGAACAGAGGCCTATTTGCTCTCTACTTTGACTCAAAAGAAAGATGCTGTGACTGAGTATCAAGCACCAACCTTCAGCACAGCAGTCTTCCCTAATGGGGAAAATGGCAGGTATAATACATTCTCAAATGTATCCTAAAGACCAAAAATACTTAAAGGGGGGAGAAAAGAGAGAGAGGAAAAAAAAGGAACCAAAAACTCCTGCTTTTCTCTGAGTAACTGCATTATTAGAAATGTATTTACTTGACTCAGTGCCTTCATAGGTCCTTTAAAACCCCCATGAAATTATTAATAGAAGAATGCCAGATGCCAAAACATTGTACAAGAAGAGCGTAACCCTCGAAAACAAAACAGTCTAGTGATGAATTAAACTTTTAGATATGACTAGCTCAGAAAACATCACTACCAACACCTTGTGTATACTTTACTGGGATAGCAGCATTCTGAATGCAACCCACAGCTAGAATGTTATTAGTAACACAAAGGAACAGAACGATGGAGGTAAAATGCTGATAAGAGCTGTTAATATAGCCTTCTTTTTTAAAATATATTTTATTGATTTTTTTTAATTTTTATTTTTTACAGAGAGGAAGGGTGGGGATAGAGAGCTAGAAACATCGATGAGAGAGAAACATCAACCAGCTGCCTCCTGCACACCCCCCTGCCAGGGATGTGCCTGCAACCAATGTACATGCCCTTGACCGGAATCAAATCTGGGACCCTTCAGTCCGCAGACCGACACTCTATCCACTGAGCCAAACCGGTTTTGGCAATATAGCCTTCTTTATAATAAGCCTACTAGAACGTCCAGGGGTCCAAGCCATGAAAAGAAACATATCCCCTTCAAGAGGATGTCTAGTTGAATAAAACTCATGGGTATAGTTTTAACAATGTGACATGGATCAAGTACTGTTTTTCTATTTCCAAAGTTCCATGTTTATGAGTTCCACTATGCAACTCAATTCCCTATTACATGAACTGTATACCACTATGTGCCTTGAGATATTTTAATCTTATACCTTATTAATATACCTCACCACCCAGTGCTGGGCTTAACACATTAAAAAATGCTTTAAAATATTTGGGTTTGAATGATTATCATAATACCACTCAGACCAAGAGCTAAATCCTCTAGGTCAGTATAGCTTTAACATCCATTTAATCTCAAATGTTTAAAAAGGTATGAAAGATTCTATGTTCAAACTGAGCTCCTAATCTTACCCTGTTTCACCACTCTTCACTTTTCCAAATCTGCTCTTCCCTCTGTTTTCCCATTTCATCAAACAGCAACTTCATTCTTTACAGTGTTCCGGCCAAAAACTTAGGAGTTACATTGATTCCTCTCCTTCACACACTACGTTCAGTCCATCAAAAGATTTTGTAGGTCCTGCCTTCTGATTCTCACAGCTTCTCATCACCTCAACTGCACCAAATTAGGCTGAGCCACCAGCCACCAGATTTTTTTTTTTTTAATATCCTCTTAATTGATCTCCTTACTTTAACCTTCATATCGCCCCCCTCCCCCCCTTCCTTCTACATTCACCAGCATGGAGAGATTTTTTAAAATTATATATCAGATAATATGATTCATTACTGAAATCACCCAATGTCTCCATCCATCCATCCATCCATCCATCCATCTAAATAAAAATAAAACCCAAAATCTTTACAAAAGTCTGCAATATATTATGACATCTGTACTCCTGTGCCTACTTTCCCTTATTACCCTTTATTTGACTCATTCTACCCCAATTGGCCTACACTATTCTTTGAATATATCAAACACAGTCTAGCCACAGAGTCTTTTGCACTTGGTGTGCCCTGGGTCTAGAATGTTCTTCCAAAAGATATCTGCATGGTTGACTTGCTACCTTCCTCCAGTCCTTCATTCAAAGGTCACCTTCTCACAGAGGGTTTTCCTGATTCACTCTATCTGAAATTGCAAGCAACTGCTCCCCATTCTGATTCCCTCCATTAGTTTTCCTGAACTATTTTTTCTCCTTAGCACTTGCCCAAAGTATAAATGTATACTTATTAATATTTCTTGTTTATTGTTTGTGGCCTCTACTAGAAATATACTTCAAGAGAATAAGTTGTTTTATTGCCTGTGATTACCAATGCATCCCCAGCCCCTACCAAAAACTGTCTACTGAAAAAACGAGTATCTCTTTAACTATCCTTCTCTTCCATAATGGATTTAGGTTATACACTAAAAGTTGCATCATGCTGCCCAATGTAGAATTTTGGGGACATTTGGTTCTTCAAGCACTTGCTCTAAGAGCTTGAGTAAAAGTTAAAGAAAATTAGAGCTGAAGAATGAGAAGATTGTTACAATACTATCTTCATATATGTTGAAATGCCAAGGTATCAAACAATTATGGCAATAAAGGTAAAACTATTTATGGAAGCAAGAGGACTGCAGAGTAAGTCTTAGCATCTACAGACATGAATTTAATTTTGTCACTCCAAGTTTGCAATTGTTACCTTTAACAAACTGTTTATGGCTTTGACTATCAGAAGCCTCAAACACATGGAGATAAAATAACTGAGGCTTCATATTACTGTGACAAATATACCATTAAGAACATTTAATAAAAATAAGATCAAATTCATGGAATAGGAAAATGTATATTTTGCTTCATGATTTTCAAATAATGCAATGAGAGTTCACTAAGACTTTTTGTGGAAATCTAAATGTTTCTAACATTGTTGTCCAAAAATCAAGTCAGTAAACAATATGGAGAATGGTATTTGACCAAGTTTTCATTTTAATTGCATAAGTGTTTCCAAATGGGACAAAACTACATGCATTAATTTTGGATCCCTCTGGATGGTTTATTCTTTAAAAAAAAAAAATACTTTTAGAAAGTTGCACTTTCCAGACACTGCTAACACTATCACCCTATAATTATTAACTCTGGGCAAGTAATAATTAAGAAAATGTTTTACTTTCTGCATAATAATATATTACTTTAATGTTGAGTCAAATTTGTTAAAGCACAATAATATGAATTTTAATTTGCCTCTTAAACATCTTATTCTGAA